AACAGGGCATAGAAGAGGTTCTGGTGCTCTGGCTGGATGGGCAGGCCCAGGAGGAGGAACTCTGAGATGAGAGTTTGGTTTTTTCCCATTATTATCTATCTCCAATACCTTTAAGAGAAATAAAAAGGCCCTTTAAAAACCCAAGTGAAAATGATCATGTTTTTCTCATACACAGTGTTTACATGTTTTATAATAGTTGATCCCACCACCATCACAATAAGTATAACCTTACAAGTGTCTTTTATCTCTATGATCATTTATTACTTTTTCTCATCTTCTTTTAAACATGTTTCAGTAGCCCATTCTTTCCTAAATACTTATCTGTTTGCTTCTGTCACAAAAGGAGTGTTGGATTTTCTCTTCCCTGCCTGACTGGTCATTCTTAGCAACTGTAATCGGTTTCTGCTTTATAATACCTGATAGGGTGATGTTCTTCGAATATTTTTGTAAATCCCATTCTCTTATAATTCTATATAGAACCCCAAGGAAATCTCACCGAATGCCAAATACTTAGATTAGTATTTAAACTCGGGCAGAGACATCTCTCTCACTCACAGAACTCTGCATGCCACTGCTTGACGGTCCTCTTCCCTTGGATGTATCACAGGTGTCTTCAGCTCAACAGGTTCCTAATGAAACTCAGCATAGTGTGTTGCATCCATATTATTCTCCTCCTCTTCCACATTCGTTCCAATAAAGGAAGGCAGGATCCAAATTGCCAAAGTATGAACTTTTTTTCTTCCATCCTTCTCTGTCACCATCAAATCCAGCCATATCTATCACATCCCATATATTCTACATTTCATTCCTCTGCTACTTCATCCACTCCTCATCACAAAACCCACATTCCTCGTGGTCCAGGTGAGACTCAAGTCAGTTCCCTGTTTCCCACACCTTAAATACGTTCTCCTTCAATATGATTCATTCACACTGTGTCATTCTGAGATGGAAATCAGGTCATCTCTCCTGATTCATGCTTCAGGATATTCTCATTGCTCTTAAGATAAAGGTAAAGTTTCTTTGAAGGGTACAAATGGTGCTTCATTACCTGAGCTGTGTCTCCCTCCATGGTCTCATCTTGCGCCCAAGTGACACAAGCCTTTCCTTCTCCAGTGCTGCTGGACTGTAAATCTAAATTTATTGCCTCTAAAATTTCATACTTGGTGTTCCTCCAATCTATCACTCTCTCCCCTCTGCTTCCTCTTTCAGTTGTCTTATTTTGATTTATCATTCAGGGATGTTTATGACACTTGCGAAACTAAACCCTCGGTGAGGTCTTTGCTGTCTGCAGAGCCTCCTGTTCTCATCCCATAGCAGTGAATGTCCTGATCACAGGTAGATGGCCGACTTCCCACCAGGTTGTGAACTCCACGCAGGAAAGGCCATGTCTGCCTCTTGCCTGCAGCAGGGAAGCCCCTGGCAGGGTGCCTGATGTGGCCAATGCTTCATCCATATTTGTTGGCTGTCCCTCGGGATGAGAAAAATTCCTTCAACTTCAAAGGCAGAAAACTCCCATTAGGTAAAATAATTACAGTTCTTAAATCCTCCTAGAATACAAACTTACTAGATTTCACCATATAGCACTAGATTTTGACACTCTATCACCAACTTCACACATGTAGTTTTGTATTTATTAAAAAAAATATTAGGGTGTATCGGAAGCACTGTACTTTTCAGTCACACCAATGACTTAAAACATCTTTCGGCATTGATCCACACAAATTCATTGATATGATGAGCATTTTATAAAGTGTGGGAAAGCAGAAGAAATTCACATTTTTTAAAGTTCTCACTTGAGTTCCTCCTCAGATGTCAATATCACATGTAATGATTAGTTTCATGTGTCAACATGGGTAGGTTCTGTTATCAGACTTTTGTAAAATACCAGTTCTGAATGTTGGTATGAAGGTATTTTATAATATATAGAAGTTTAAATTAGTAGACTTTGAGTGAAGTAGATTGCCCCCCAAAATGTGATGAGCCTTGCTACTGCCAGTAGAAGGTCATAAGAGAAAAGACTTCACTCTTCTGAAGAGAAAGAATTCTGCCTCCAAAATGCTGTGACCTCAATGCTGTGCCATCTATTCTTCTAGGGACTCCAGTAGGCAGGACTGCCCTGCAGATTTCTGAATTAAGAATCCTCAGTACTATGTGGGCTATACCCTTAAAATCTCTCTCTCTCTCTCTCTCTCTCTCTCTCTCTCTCTCTCTCTCACACACACTCTCTCTCTCTCTCTCTCACACACACACTGCTTTCTTTGGGTAACCTTGGTTGATAAAGCTCAGTATGGTTGGGCAGGGTTGCACATCTCTGCAATTCCTGTGGCTTGGGAGGCTGAGTCAGAAGGATCATGGGTTCAAAGCCAGCCTCTGCAACTTGAGAGACCCAGAGAGACCCTGTCTCTACTAAAACATACAAAATGGGCTGGATATGTGGTTCAATGGTTGAGCTCCTCTGGGTTCAATCCCCAGTACCAAACAAACAAACAAAAACCCAGTCTGTCTCCAGGTCATCAAAAATGCAGAGGAGAAACATTAAGAGATGTGGGAAACTCATTCACTAAATGATATCAATGAGTCCTACTGCTGGGAAGTCCACCCCACTGCTGATGTTTAACAGAACTGCATTAATAGTTTGTACCTTTCGACACCATGTGTTGGCATCATAGTGGGAAGAAACATGAGGAGAAAATCAAGTACCTGTTTTCTCAGACTTTTGCTTACCTTTTGAGTTTGCAGGACTATCTTTGTGTCAAGAAGCTGTGCAGGGATCACAAAACCAGAGATAGCAGCTGCAGACGTTTTCACAGATGATCCACTGAGCTTCCTCTTCTTCAGCCATTAAATTCAATATCCTTACTCCAGGATGCACACAAGAATCATGTAGGGCAGTGTTTCTACACTCAACACACATGCAAATTACCTTCCATTAAGATATTCATTCTGGTGCTGTAGCTCAGACCATAGAGTTTAAATGAATACCCAAGTAGTGGTGTCAATACTGTGATCACTGGGCTGCACTTGAGTAGCAAATATACACATTGCCATTTAACTCAGATTACTGAGCACCTTCAGATAACTGGAATCTCTGTGAAGTGGCTTGTGCAAAGCTTTTTAAAGCTCCTTAGGTGAATGTAAAATAAAGAAAGGTTAAGAACTGTTACTGCACTGAACCCTGTCTTACAGGCCTGGTATGTCAAAATGCTGTGACCTTTGAGGATTCACTGCACAGTAAGTGACATTAATGAGCAGTGTTATTAATAAAAAGTGTTATAAGTGATGAACTTTATTCAAAATATTTCTATACTGTGGCAAAGTCTTGGAAGGCAGCTCGATGGAAAAGAGGGAAGTTGTCACACCTGAAAACTTACCTGGCAGAACATCATACAACCTGGCATATTGACAACTTACCCAGGGTGTCTGAGGGTGACTCTGGGCCCTGATCCAAGATCTTGCTCCCCTTTATTCATTACAAGCATATGAAGTAACGTCCTCTGTAGGCATCACGTGTCTGCCATCCCTTCTCTGCCATCCCTTCTCATGTCTCACCTTCTAGCCATCCACGGGCCCGAGAGGCTCTGCATCTCAGGGGAGTCCAGATTCAGGCCTAACTCATTAGGCACAAAGTAATTATCCAGGACCTCTTCAAGGCAAATTATCAGAGTCCTGGATGGTGACTGATTAAAGCCACTGATCACACCCTACTGCACTCTGGGGAAAGGTGGGGAAGGAGAGCTCAGGTATGTGTGATGAATCATTGCCCATTTAGGGAATGGACAGGAATCCTGTGCTGTTGGAGCCTACATTGGGGACTTGAAGAAAAATAGTTGGATAATCCATAAAAATAAATCAAATACTAGACTGTGAATGATTTGAAATATCTTGGTAGTACAGCAGTTTATACAAGTGGCATCAGATTGCCCTTATTTGCATTGCTGTGAAATAAGTAAACCTCACATAATGAAATTTACTTGGTAAGTTTCAAATGAACCTTCAAGTGAACATTATATTATGTAACTCGTGCTACATAAAAAAGTCTAGGTCATTCACCTCACTTCATCTCACCCTGTAGGAATTTTATCATGATACAATGTGACACGAAGAAGAGTGAATATAGTACAGTAAGATTTTAGGGGGAGTGACTGAGGTTGTGTCTCATTGGTGGAGCGCTCGCCTTAGTACATGCAAGGCACTGGGTTTGATCCTCAGCACCACATAAAAAGATAGATAAAATAAAGGTATTTTGTCCATATACAACTAAAAACTAAAGATAATAGCGAGAGAGACAGATCACTAAGACAATTTATTATAGTATGTTTTAAGTGTTCTAACTTATGATTAGATATTGCTGTTGATCTTTTCCTGTGCTAATTAACCATATTTTAATGTTGGCTGTCTGCCAAGGGCTCATATATAAAGGTCTAGACCAAGTATTGCAGTATAGGAGTTGCTATGGTTAAGTGGCACAAACTTGTAGAAAGTCCTTAGGTCATTGTGGATGATTTGAAAAAGATCATGGAATTTCTATTCTAGTTTGAGATGTGATCCATCCTCTGCCATTAGATTATGCCAGGGCTGACCTGGCCAAGGCTGTACTAGGCCATTTGCCATTAGAACTCTTCAAATTGTGAGCTAAATGAACCTGTTTATAAGTTGACTGTGCTAGATATTTCATTGTATTGGTGGAAAGCTGGTACAGTAGTCTCTTTAATATTTGGTGCTGGAAAAATTGGATTTCCACGTTTCACATTCTGTACAACAGTTCATAGAAAATGGATGGTAGATTTTAATGTTTGTCTGAGGGCTGAGGAGATTCCCCATGACATTCTGCTCTGTGGAGCCAGAGATGTCTCAAAGCAAAAGCCAAGGTGAGATGGAGCAGGATAGATGTGCAGTGCTCAACTGAAGTCAGTTGAGATCATTGCAACACTGAAATAAGTAGCTGAGAAAACTTAGGACGGTGCATTAGAATTGTATAGTTCTGAAGGAACATGCTCTTCTACCAAGGGATATAACCATCCTTCGTTTGGCCATTTTCTGATTCATGTGTTAGCTAATGTGCAAACAGCAGAATTGCTACTGTGCATGGGGTAGTTGACATTGATCACCAAGGGGAAACTTTGTTACTCTACACAACTGGAATAAAGAAGGTAGCATCTGAAATCATGGGAGTAGTTTGTGGTCACTTTGTATTTCCAAGTCCTTTAACAAGCATTAATGAAACTATAAAACCCAATAAAGGTGATACCAATAAGGATGCAGGTCCCTAGGAAGGAAATTTTCAATGTGTCACTATGTAAGATCCTGAAGCTGATGATGGTGAAGAGGGATAGATGGTGAGAAGGTGAATTATATACACCAAAGCTGGCTTCCCAATCAAATGTGGGGAAAGAATATTCTTGGCTTAGGAAGAGATATGACATAGAGGAAGGATGATCATTGTGCTTGATGCTCAAGGATTTCCACAGAAAATGAGTGGAAATCATTCTGCACCAAATGTGGTGCAGAAGTCAACTAATTTTCAACCCTACATGAGGAAGAATTGGACATGGTCTGGGAAGTTTGTTTTTTCTGATTCTTCTGATTTCTTTCTATCTGCATGTGCCTTAATCATAGAAGTCTGAACCTTGTTAAATGCATTTCTTCCTCTCCTACTGACCATGAGCAGCAAGATGGGGAGTAATAACAGGTTCTGCCATCCTTGCAATGTTTCTGAAACATGAGTTTCATGGCAGTACTCTACTCAAAGACCACTGTATGGTGTATGAATCCCTGTTATTCACAGGATGAAGCCTAAACTCTTAAACTCCTAAGATAGGTTGGGACATTCACAGTGTGGTCCCTGATTACTTCGTGGTTTCTGCAGCCATCCACCTTCACCTCCTGAAATGTAGGCTGCAGCCACACAGGTCTCCTATCCCTTCCCCACACAGGCAATGAGAAAGCATCTGTTCTGAGCTGCTCAGCATCTTCACCTTCCCCCAAAGGATGGGCTGGTGTGAACAGAGGCTGTCATGAGTCACCACTACAGGAACTTTGGGAGAATTAGTCTCTGAGAGGTCCTGGCTAATTATTTTGTCTGTAATGAGTTCCTCCAGCCTTGGTACTCCTCTGGGATGCAGAGCTCCTCAGACTTCTGTGTGTAGAAGGGGAAGAATGAGAAGGGATGGTGCAGTCAGGTGAAGACTATGGAGACTATTATTCCTGTGTCTCTAATGAATAAGGGGAAAAGGATCTTGGGTCAGGGCCCTGGAATCACCTTCAGCCACCCTGGATGAGTTGGTAGCAGAGTGAATGAGCTCTTGTCTGTCTTTCAAATGTGATTGATTTGAATTCTCAGGTTGTATAATGTTCAGCAGAATAATTTTTTAGATTGTTAAGTTTCTTCTTTTCCATCTTTCTGCCTCCCAAGACTTTCTCACATGGTTTTAATACTTTGATTAATTTTTTTTAGAGAGTGAGAGGGGGACAGAGAGAGAATTTTAACATTTATTTTATTTTTTCTTAGTTCTCGGCGGACACAACATCTTCGTTTGTATGTGGTGCTGAGGATCGAACCTGGGCCGCACGCATGCCAGGCGAGCGCGCTACCGCTTGAGCCACATCCCCAGCCCCTTTGATTAATGTTTGTCTAACATTTTTATGTTTTGTTGATAATAATATTTATTGCTATAACTTATTGTGCAATGTACTTGCAATGATTGTATCATTTGCTCTTAAAAATAGTCTGTGAATACAAGTTCAGTGCTGTAATAATTCTTGGGCATTCTTTAGTTTACATTCCCCTATAAGCTCTAAAAAGCTTGGCATTAGGAAGGCATGGGCATGGGCCTCCTATCATGGATTCTGATTAAATTTATCTAAAGGGGCTCGATAACCTGCTTTTAATGACAATGTATGTGTTTACTACTGAAGTGCATTTCAGTGACAGCAGTACTGATATCAACTTAGTGTCCATTTAAAATGTAGAAGTTGAGTTACAGAATCAGATTAGGTTTTTAATAGAATCCCCAAGTGACTTGCATGCATATTAAGTCTTAGAAACACCGCCCTAGGTGATTTTTATGTTCGGGTCATGTTGAGAACTATGGATTTTAAGCTGTAGAAGTTCATTGGGGCATCAGTGATGACATCAACAGGTGATGTCTGTGGTTTGTTATCCTCTGTATATACTCCTAACACATGAGATCTTCCTACTCACTCACCAGGGAATGAAAAATTCTGAGAGACTAGATGTATGATCTACATATTTCTTCTTACTGTAATGTCAACACCTTATATTCAAGGGCTCAAACTGCTAATTCGGCAGTGTTAAACACCATCAGCAGGGTGAAGTTACCAGCACTCATTCATTTCATTTTAGCAAAATGAGCTTCCCACATCTGTTAAAACTCTTCCTCTGCTTTCTTTGAAAGCCTTGTGACATACTGGTATTTATTAGGGTTGAGTAGAAGAATTAATATGATGTACATGTCTATGATTTTGTGTGTGAATTTAAGAACATAGTCCATATACTTTGAATTTTTCTAAGTTCACAGTCTGCAGTGAAAGACAGAAGATTATAGACCAGGGAAGAGTGGATGTTACACTTTTGAATACAGAACACTCTGGAGGCAGAATTCTTCCTCAGGGGAGAAAAGTCTTTTGGGGGCAGAATTCTTGATCAG